TGACTGAGAGCTGTTTCCTTTGGGTGTTTAGGCTTTGTTCTTGTTTTTCCCCTTTTGTGCTTTGAAATAAGAGACTAGATCAGTGCTCTGAAAATCTGCAGGATGTCATTTGGACTATGACAACCCATTCAAATGAATGAGCAGGTTAGTGGTCTTAATGTGGCCCCTTCGAGTGGTGGTAGGGAAATAGCTGTCATGCTTCTGTGGTCCAGGGGAGTGGCTGGACTGTTTCCTCATGTTGATTCTAGCCATCATATCTTTGCAGCAAGCCTTTGGTTTTTCAGCATGTTGAATGAATGAGCAAGACCTCCAACTTACAGCAGGTAAGCAAGCCTACAATGTGTGATCTAATTCCTAAATCTGTATATGAAAGCACAAATTTACTTGAAGAAATTTTGTTTACTAATAAATAGAACTTTGAGCATTTGCTGGGACCTGGGGACCTCCAGAGGTCTTTTCCACCCTGAGTGGCTCTGTGTAAACACATGGTTAGGGGCAGTATCTGTACCAGATCTGAATGGATGGTTTAGTTGAGTATTTAAAATCTAAAACATTTTTATTAGAATAACTATAAATTTATAACCTGCTGATTTTATATTGGAGTCCTCATCTCTAATGAAAAATTTTTTTTCTAAAAAAATTTATTTGCCTGCTGGGCACTGGCATTTAAACAAAACATGTAGAATTTAAAAAGTGTGCTTGAATTTTTGAGTCCAGCATTTAAATTTCTAAATCTTGGGAGAGGTTTGCTTTTTTAAAAAAAAATGTCATGTACCTCTTTCCACATCCTAAGCACCCGTGTCTTCACCTGGTGGTGGGCTATGGGGAGCAGGATTTGCCCTGTTTGTAGTGTGGGATGCTGTGGGGTGCTCTAGCCAGCCCTGGGGCTTAGTGGCGTGGTGGCAGATGTCTGCAGTGAGTCAAACCACTGGTTCCAATGTTGATTCCAATTTCAAGGTTTTCTTCAATGCTGCTGCAGTGAATGGCTGTAAACCCTTCTGTAGGTGTTCAGGCTCAAGTCAAGCTGGTTAAGGGAATGTGAAATTCAAGGTCAAAAGGTGAAACACTGCTAAATTTAAGATTCAAGTTTATGCAGATGAGTAAATGGCTGCTTGAATCATTTTCATTTCAGTTGCACTAGGTAAGGTATGGCCCTTCCAGCATCTGTTTCCCCCCTGCAGCTGGAAGGGCTGCAGGATTTATGAACAGAAAAGGTCTTCCCCAAACATGTTTTCCTGAGTATGCAAGCCTAATTGCTCTTGTGCATCCTGGCTTGTATCTACAGATGTTTGGATATGGCTCTTAGGTTTCACTTCATCATCTCTTATACAGGCTTAAACAGTGTATTCTCCTGTCAGTTTGTTCCTACCACTCATTTTCAAACAGTGGAAAAAATTGAGCATTAGAGATGTTTGGGGTAAAAATCCATTTGCAGATAAATATATTTGATGGGATCCTCTCATTGGGAGAGATTGAGGTTTTGGGGCTTCTTTGTGTTATTGTTGAAGCTTAAAGAGACAAAACTGGAATACCAGCAGAAAAGTAGTGTTTTAAGGTATCTTTTTTGCACACAATTTCTTCTTCCCCCAGCACAGTGTTGGATGATGATGCTGTTGGTCCTTTCTGAAGGCTTAAAAAAACAGACCATCTGTCTTTTAAACAGCTTGTGAAACTGTTGGTTTGATAATTGTGGATTGTCTGTACAGGTCCCAGACGTGTTTAAATCATACTGGGTATAACACTTCCATTTCTGATTCCAAGCTGGTGTGTGGTTTGTTTGTTGCTGAGTATATGCAGTCTTGGGATAGAGATGTCCAAATCTAGCAGAAGGTGAGGTTATCTGTAGCAGTGACCCACCACAGAACAGGCACCTATGAGGAGGACTCAGTAAATATAGGAATCTGAGCCAGGTGCCCTCCCCATCTCGGGGCTCCAGGGCAATTGCTGCCACCTTGCTGATTTCCTGCAGTTGCTATAGGTGATGCCAGGTGAAAGCCCAACCTAAGATCTTCCTCCTGTCCCTGAGGATCTGATAGTCTACACTGTGAAGAAGTGATGGGAAACAGCTCGCTGGCTATGAATTGGCTTTGGGTCTGCTCCAGTAGCCTTAACTTTCCAAGTGTATTGTTTTCTCAGAAGATATTTTATACTTCTTTTTTAAATTGATGACATCTTTCACTTGCTGCTCATCTATTTACTGTTTCTTAGTAACATTTCATTACATTGTGCTGTTTTAGTGTGTCTCCATAAAACAAAATTAATATTAAAAGTTCCCTTTTCAGTAGGAATTTGCAGTTAAATGTACTTTTTTTGGTGTTATACATAGCCTTCTTCAAAACTGTTGGTGGTAAGTTATATACTGCTCAATTTAAAGGAATTTTTTAAAGTGAGATTTAGTGAAATTGCTTCTCAGACTCATCATGATTTACAATTGCTTTCAGGCAATTCTGTCCCAAAAGAGCCAAGCCGACTCCTGTACTTTGTTTCTTCATTTACCATCTTCATAGTTTTCCTTATTATTTTCCTTTTTCCACTTACTATTAAGAATGAAATAACTTGCATATTTGGTTATTACTAACAAACTGGGATCTAAAGGCTGTCTGACTTTCAGTAGTTCAAGAAGCAGAATTAGATACAGGTTTCACCCTGGATGAACAAGCTTTTGCCAGGCACTAATGTCTATCACTGAATGACAGTGGTTGAACTTTCTAAACATAGGGGAAAAATCAACAATGGATACCTTAGGCTAACATCATAAAGAGCAGATTGGAGTTAGATGTTGCTTTTGTTGCTCTCCCCAAAAATCTTCTTCAGGGAGAGTTCACTTACCTCTAACGCTGAGAAAAAAAACAGGTTGGCAAATATAACTCTTTCTGACTGCAATGGAGACACCAAAGTGATCCAGATGAGCTCGAGCTGTGTGGGAATATGTGTAGCACCCAAGCATGGGGCCAGCAAATACAGGGAGGTTGTCTCCTTGCAGAGATTCTGTCTAACTGAAAGCTGTGTAGGAGCTGGTCTGCTGCTGCAAGTCAGACATTTTTCTCTCTCAGGTTTCCCCTTGAGCCTTCCCTCAAAAATGGAAATGGAAGGAAATATCCTTGAATTCACAGCGTGGGGTGTGTGTGTATATATACACACATATACATATCATGTATATAATACATGCTTTGTACAAATACAGCCATAGTTATATTTTTCTGGAGAGTTAATATAAACTGGGCATGTGATAAGAACATGCAGGGGCTGCATTATATGGGCAACCAACAGGCTGTGTTCTGAAAAGCTGAAAGTCTTTGGCATTAGGAATCTAACTTTGACCAGATGTTGATGGTAAATGAGTTGCAATGAAATTGCCCAGTGGGAAACAATTTAGCTTTTAGAATGTCGTAACTTAAACCTTGATTTAGTGTATTGCATAAAAGTGGGCATGACTTGTATTTGATACATCCTCTTTTTTATTAGTACTCTGCAAAGTTCAGTTCTTAAAGTGTCTGTAGTGTGTGTGCATGTGTATATTTCAGCTTTGTGTTTCCTCAGTCCCAGCTTTTTTTACTAGCATCACAGTTCATGCATGCACAGAACAGTTTACCTTGGAAGGGACCTGGAGATTACCCAATGCAGGGCTGACTTAAAAAGGTTTGTCAGGGTCTTGCCCGTTTGAGCCTATGATGGAATGTAGCTGTCTAGCTCTTCCCACTCATTACTCAAAAGGTCTAAGTTAAAGAGTTTACCGAGGAAGCAGATATTGAAGATTTTACATAAAAAATTTCTGCATGCAGAAATAAATTCTTGCTCATGCTTGCATATACGTAATATATTACACTCAGCTGCATGGAGCAGGGAACTATTATTATGACCACACTTGTGAAAATATTTGAATTTAGCTTACTTTACATAAACACTCTGGCCTTAAACCCACATTGTATGGTAACATGTATAGCACAGCAGTCCCGTTCTCGGGACAGATGCTTGAAGGGGTTTTCAGTGTTTCCATTCCAACCCCCCCAAGCAGGGGGTCCTACCTTGGCCCTAAAATTTTTCTCAGAAATATTTTCTCAAAAGAATATTCTGTGAAAAACTACACGTTTAAAGGGATAAAACTGGTTACCCTCCCTCACCACCCCAATAACTCAGTGGAGGGGAGAGTTTGCATATGCCTCCCGTGCTCACCCTAGCTGGTTGGTTGGCCATCAGCAGGGCAGGCCCAGGGAACACTGAAAAGCAAACCTAGTGCTTGAGACCTGTTCCGTATGGGTAAGGTCCTGGCTGAGATGTTGTAGAGAAGCTGAAAAGCTGTTTGGAAGTCTAGCCATGAGAAGCATGCTACAAAACCAGTACTAATACAAGTCATATGGTTGAGACTTCATTTCATTTAGCTGTTTAGAAAACAGAAGTGCTGGCCAGTACGTGCCTGCAATGCTCGATTTCTTCCCCCACCTTCCCCGTTTTATTAGTTCCTGCTCCCGGCATGCTTTCTGCTGTGTTGTGGACCCACTGATTTAACAGCCATAGTTCCTGAAGCTTTTGCATCACTCGTGTTTAAATCCCACCTTGAGAAGCCCACAGATATATGTTCTTCTAGCTGTCACTGTTTCACACAAATCCAGCTGCCAACTGAGAAGTGGAAAGTGGCCAACTGACCCTTGCATCTGATACAGCCTTTCTCGTCAAGGACCAAAGGTAAAGCAAAATATTTTGGGACCAGGACAGGATGTTAGCCTAGTGTGTCCTTCCCCAAGTACAAACCAAGTTCAAAAGGATTGTACTGACAGAAGATCCTGTGGACATGTGGACAACCCTCGAATGCATGGCCCTTTGTGGCAACAGCCAGGGACCAAACACTTTCCTAGGTTCTGGGAAGCCAGGTAAGAGTACCATGCCTTGCTCACATCTGGCACTCAACCACAGTGCCAGAGCTCTGTGGCTTATAAGGAATTATGAAAAAAAAAAAGAATTTGCTATTTAAATAGACAAGATCAGAGAGACAGAGAACAATATTAAATAATGGATGTATTTTATTAATTAATTCAGACTTCAGACAGACACCACGTGTGCGAACTAAACATTAGTACACACACAGACTTTATTTTCATGTTTATGGCAACTGAAATTCTGGGATTTTGAATTTTAGAATACAAATGACTGAAACCAGTTGCATGTAGTCTGAAGTATTTCAATGTCATTACAGAAGTAGTTCAGCAGTAGCAAAGTATTGAGCCACAACAAAAAGCAGATCTTCTGATAATAAACAACCACATGGTACTTAAAACACTTTAGCAAATGCAGGGATAAGCATGGCGACCTGCCTTATCAAGCCCTGGTTCTGCCATGTGATAACATTGCTCACTGTAGATGCAAAGGTAGGGGTCCCATACCTACAGTCACATCCATGTAACAAGTGATAAACCTAACAATAACACTGATATTAAAAAGATTTCATTTTAAACTCTTCTGGATGAAGGCCTCAGTATCAGGGGAGTCCCAGGAAATATACTGTGGCAGTTTCTGCAGGTTAGCTGGTGGCCAATAGCTCAATGCTTTGCATCATGACAAAGGACCAAAAATGTAACAGCTTGAGAGATTTTTGCAGCTAGTTAAACTAGATGGGGTGGGAGAAAAGCTATGGTCAAAGAAGAGAGGGCCATTCCACCTTTCTTGAATTACTGAAGCTATCTAAACAAAATAACAAATCCTGTGCACATAATAGTAGAAAAAGCACAGGGTGTTTGTCAACTCTCAACTAAATGAGCTGGAATGGTGTTTTAGGGAGAGACTGATGGGTCAGATAAACAATCTCAGTGTGCGTGGCCTGAAGGGATAATATGGAGATGCCACTACAGAAGGTATCAAGCAGCAGTTTGAGGTGACTTATAAAACGTTTTGCTTAGACATCCACATCCATATGGAAGCTTCACAAGGCAGTCAGCTAGTGCCACATTTAGTATCCCACACTGAATGGGGATAATTCCAGTGCACCTGCAGGGGAACCACAGTGACCCCTAGTAAGGCACGATTACGGTTTTCTGAATTTCTCTGGACAAGATGGAGGGAAAACCTTATTTCTTTTTCTTGTAAGGATGCTACTAGGAAAACTATGTCCAGAAACCACACTTATTTTCTTCCAAAACTCTTTGGCTATTTCTTGGCTGGATAGCTCAATGTGTGCAAGACTAATTAACAATGCTGCTATGTGTATAAAGAGCATGGTTGTATTTTGTTGCACAGTTTAATAGACTATATCAGAAATGTTTCTTCCCAGCAGCTGTGAGAGCCACACCTGAATCTTACTTTCTACTTATCATGTTTGTCATGCAGTCCCAGTGTAATTAAAGCATCCACAGTCTAGGCCATTATGAGCTCTATTGTCTAATAAGGATAAAATATCAAATTGCTCTAGTTTTTACATTTAAATTTATCTTCACAGCAATCCCCATAGTGTTGGAGGTCCATGCTATGAATAGCACTAAAATGCAATCAACAGACATTTCCGTGCTACTCCAGGGAAGGCACAGATAATTAATTGCCCCCAGTTTGCTCTACTGTCCGTAATTATAGTCTTGAGTTTATAAATAACGAAGCATGATTTTAAAAACCAAAACAAACCCCTCAATTACTACAGAGTTCCTGAGATAATTAAGTCTCCAAATGTGGCTCTGTAGAAGGGAACCAAAACTACACTGCAAAAGCCCATAACATGCAGATGTGCGTAAGCAGAGCAAAGCGACAGGATGGAAAACGTCATCAGGAAAATAAACTCTCTCATCATTATTTCACTGCTTTTTACCTAAAAAAACAATGGCCTATTGTCTCGATTCACCCTATTGTTCTGCTGCATTTTTTGTTATTGAAGGAACCAACAATCAGTGAGCGAGAGTTTCCTGAGGAGTAGCGGCTTGGAAAGCTAAATGCAGTATCCTATGCCTAAGGCTTGTTTTGCTTCAGGTTTAGGAAAAACCAGGAAAGGTAAGTTACTGAGGTAAATTTAAGAACACGGTTTACAATTCAGCTTGTTTGAATACCCCCTTCAAATAAAAATACCCTCCAGTTTTGCAAGTATGGTGGTTAAAACCTGCAAAATGAAGCACACAAAGCTGTGCCCTGTTGCATCCCTGCTTGATGGACGTTCCTCTGTTGTTACTGGGCGTTGTGTACTGCTAGGGAAAAACTCTAGTCGGGAGCCAGCACAGCAGGAGGCTTCATTAACCATGAACGGGAGCAAAACAGTGCTTCAGAAGGAGTAGTGCCCTCTCTGAACAATCAGCGTCACCACAACAACCACATAATCAGCTGGACAGCCTGTAACACATGCTTTGGATAAAGACAGACCTATGGATACAAGACAGCTATGGCTTAAGTGTTTCAAAAGATCTTTGCCCAACAAGGAAACAAATTATATATTAAAAAACTTTTACAAAATACATTCTCTGTTCTTTGTCTGTTTAATATCTTCCTTGCTCGAAGCTTGGCTGCTGCCCAAATGCATCCAGAGCAACATTTGATGATAACTCAAAAATGTGCAGTTAATCTGTGTGTAGCTTCAGCTCCTGAATGCCAGGAGCAAAAGCGTACTTTTCAGAGAGAAATAGGCTTGGTCACACAGCATAATCGGGTTTACACAAGTTTTTAGATAGCCAAGATAAAGGAAATACTTCTGTAAACTCTTCTGAGAAAAGAGGAAAACTCCAAGTTGAAAAACTGCTCATTTTCAATGTCATTTTATCCACAAACAAGCATAAACCCCAGTAGAGTGTTTCCTGCATGACAGTGAGTAAAACTTCAGCTTGCTGGTCTTTTTTTGTGATTTTTTTTTTTTTTTTTAACCCTAAAGCTATATTTCATCATAAAAACTAGTTTGAAGAAGGAGTAAACTTTTGCTCTTTGGTCTATCTTGACATTCCTCCAGAGACACATAACAGGAATATTTCAGATTCATTTTTGTCTCCTACTTGCAGGAAACAGGAAAGTTGTAGCTCTGAGTTTTCAGGCTTCTGAAATGAGAAAGATAAAGAATTTATACACTGAGGCAAGACATCTTTGCTTTCTTTAAAGTAAAAAAAAAATTGAAGCATCATAATCGAAAAGCAGTGGTTCAATGAAATGGAATATTTTTGCCTTAACCATAATAAACAAAAATGGTTAGTTATGCCACATGCACCTCCTATTTATTATCTGTGTAACCCTGGTAGGTGAGAAACAAAAATCTGTACTCATATTTCAGTATGATACGGACTTCAGACTGTACATTACTGTAGCAATTGGTGAAACTCTATACTGGGGAATGAGACTAAAAGAAGTCATTGTTTTTGTTTCATAGAATCCAGTTTTGTGGATGTAAAGGAAAAGTCTTCAAACACTTTCTATCCATTTCTGAATAAGATGAAAACATCTAACAAATAGTTTGCAATTTTAGAATATCAGTTTTGGTGTCCTACTCTGATGGACTTCTTTATGGCCATGAAGATGCCCACAGGTAAAGCTCTGGGATTCCTCTCACACTCAGAAAAGCTCCAAGGGTGGCAAAGTATCCATGATGTGTATTAAAATAATTCTGATGCTCTGCCATTTTTGAAGAGGAGAAGAGTGCAAGAATATATCTGTCACTGTGGACAGTGGCTGTCTTACTAAGTCAAAACCAACCAAGGAGAACAACAGCCCACCTCCAACTCCCCCATCAACCCAAATACTCAAAGCCAAACCGGCCTAGTAAGAGCAGGCATCTATTGCCACTGATTAAATTTGAGGGATCCTTAGAGCTCACAAGGGTCCTTAACAGACTTTACTTGTGCAGAGTGAGTCAGGTTCATGAATTCCCCTTGCTGTGGAAGTAATACTTTTTTTTTTTTTTGGTTTTTCGTTTGTTTTTTTTTAATATTTCTTCCTATTGGCAGACTTGTCACCATGTAAGTCTTATTCTGACTGGTGGTCTCTACAGACAGCTCCTAAGGAAACAAATTCAACTTCTTTAGTGTATGAGCTGGGAAGTACAATTTAAACAGGACAGAGGTCAGCGATGAAGAACTAGCCAGATCCCTTTGGGTTCATTTCTAGATATTAATGTTTCATTCTTTGATAGATCATGTTGTTCCTACAGAGAGACTGCAATACTGTGTGTCCATGTATTGGCTATTTGTCAACAGAGAAAAACAGAGTTGACTTTTATGATAAAGTTCTATGACTTTTTTAGCACATATTCTAATGACTGGTGTTCTGCAAATTTTTGTGAGAACTGTCATCTGCTCCATTAATGCAGTGAAGTGGTAGAGAAAAAATCAGAGAGACTAAAGACAACCAATGTTTCAGTTCAGTCAGAGCCTCACACAGCATCCTGAGAAGCAGGAACTTTTGCCTGTATCTCTTTTACAAGTCTGATGTCAATATGCATTGCGGAGGAGGATAAATACTGCACACTAAAGCAACTGTTCTCAGCTCTGCAGGCATGTTTATAATGAAACATCTGCAGCTCTTCTGCAAATCTCTAAATATTTTTCAATTACAACATCTTAAAAATTTGAATCAGTCCTAATGAGTTGGCACAATATCATATTACATTGTACACTATATCACTATGAAAAGAATTCAAATTAAGTGAAAACAAAATCCCTCGATCTCCCATCATAGAAACAAAGACCTCATAGTGTGGTATCAGCTACACTGTGGGTTCACTTTGGTGAATGTGTGAAAAGAAATAATAATACTAAACTTCTCTGCAGAAAGTTGGATGTAAAGACTACATAGGAATATTGTTTCTTTCTTCATGCAGAATTAGAAATGTACAAATCTAGCACATGAACCAGATGAATTTTAGAGCTCATGAACACTTGACTACTTTGTGTGGAGCTCACTAGGTATTAAAATACCCTCAAGGCATTTATTTAGAATGTTAAAAGTAGGAACACACATGAGTATGTACCCATATTGATAAAAAATATATATGATCAAGCCCTTTTTCTTTAAAAGGCTTAAACTTACTGAATCATTTATCTCTCTGATGCCAACAATACCTCTATAATGAAATTAAAATAATTTATTAACAGTGGGATATGTATGCTATTTCCTACCTCACTATTATGTTTTGTGACTCTGATAGCATTTCTTTTTACATCTGACAAAACACCATCACTAACTAAAAGACAAATTTAACATTTTCATTTCATGCACAAATTCCAATGAAAGGTCTTCACAATTGGAATGGAGTATTTTGTCTGCTTAATTACTGTTGTTCTTCAAAACTCACCAATCCATGGTTTGGATGGATCTGTGTAAGACTAGCCAGTAAACACCCAATTAAGCAGGCTATGTGAATCTGCATATAGATTTTACATTAGGATTCTACAGTGATTTCAAATGAGTCAGAAGTAATTACGTGACTGACACATGATGAATCAATATGTATGCATCAAGCCGCCAGACTTCTAACACATATCAGTAACAAGGAATGGGATATATGCCAAGAAATAGTATGCATAACACTACCCAGAAACAGAATAGTCAGTGATGGTTTGCACGTAGGGTAGTAATTACCTGTGCATGCAGGTTAACTTTCAAGCTAACTGCTTTTTACTTGTCTTGATTGGCACACGCAAACTGGCAGAATCTGCTCTCACCACATGTTACGTAAATATTGTGACATTCAATTATGGGCAAGCGAACAGTTAACTTGGTCTGGTTGGGTTGTACAAACCTCTCCCCTCCTCTGAACAATCCATACTAACACCAAAACAAGAGCCGGTCTGCTCAAACCAGAGTAAAGGTTTGCTAGAGCAGGGTTGAAGCACCTGGATACATCCACCTCAAGGCTGATGTGGGGTCCCACCACTGTCCTATTAGTACACAGTAATATTGTTGTCCAGTCTAAAAGAAACTGTTTTGCTTTCCAGACCAATTTACTGGGGGAAAGGAGAGAGTTAAGTGATGAAAGGAGAGAATCCCATCACAGGCACACATGGTTTGTTTCACAGTTAGGGTTACATTCTCTCTTAGTCCACTTATGTTACAAGGTTAAAACGGAGTAGCATGAAATATTTTCATAACATCTTGGATTTTTAAGTGAGGAACGTGCTACACAAAATTAAAGCAGGACACCAAGAAGATTAAGTACTTAGAAAAGGGGAGGAGGTGGGAGGGTAAGTGTAACCTTCGAGGAAAAGGGAGCGAATCCAGCATGAAAAACAGGCTAAGAGGACAGCTCTGTGTTCCTGGGATGCTTATTACCATTTGAGAGAGATGACAGCGGTTACAAAAACAAAACATGAAAAAACAAAGCAGAGCTATGAACAAGCTGAACATCTTCCTGTGTATCTACATAATGACAGACACACACTGCCACACAAGTGTAGTATCAAAGATTATTTCTTTTGAGCTAAGATGACATGTTTTTTTCAGACTGGTGTTTTCCATAGCCAAGAGCAGTACAGTTGCAGAGATGGCTTCTCCTCAAGCCAAACTGACAGTGCCACGAAATCCAAGGCACCATTAGTGTACACCAGCAAAGTGTCAGACACCATTCAGCAAATGAGAAACCTATGTGATAAAGTGCACATTATGAAACATTTTCTCAAATCCCCCCAAAGTGTGTGAAGTCCTTACTAAAATTAGGGCCTAGATAAACTCCTGACAACCTTTTCCATACACATGCTGGAAACAAACATCTTCCCCTAAACTGAAACAGGAAAATAGAGGCTGTTGACTGACCTGAATTTGGACCTCACTCTCAAAACAATCCTTCCACTTGTTCTGTGATGGGGTCAAGGTCGATGTCATAGAAACATGGCCTTGTGGGAAGTCCTGGCATGGTGCTCATCTGTGGAAACAATGAAATTAAGTTATACTAGTGCACCTGTAAGCAGATAATCACTCCACCCATGTAAACCTTAGAAAGGCTGGATTGTTCAACATGGACTCGTCTGCAGATGTGATCATTACCACATTTTTTGTTTTTGTTAAAAATGTCAAGCTTGGTAGTTTTCTGATTAAATTTTAAGTATCAGCTTCCAAAAGACAGGAAAGAGAAAACAAAAGCCACAAAATACAGGCTAGAATAGCAACCTGACAATAAACTCCGTAACAAAATGAAAACCCTGGGACTTACTTGTTCCTCAAAGTATTTATCCAGAACATTTATCCATTTATATCTCCTGACAAAAAATCCCACAGCAAAGGGCAAGGACATAATTGTCTGAATTTACCCGGTGATACAAATTTGTTAACTCAGACCTCTCCCACAGAAAACCAGAACAGAGAAGTAGAATTAATTGCAACACTTACCTAATATAAGGAACAAATTGAAATAGTTCAACTAAACATACAGGGGTTACAGTTGAATCCTAATTTAGTAGTTAGAATTAGAAGGTTGAGATATGAAGCTAAAGCAACCCAATTATCTCAAACTGTGCCTAATTAAGATCCTGATCTAGCATAAGACACCAGCATCTGCATACTTTTAAAACATGTGAATAGTTTCATGGACTTAAATTACACAGATAACTACAGCTCTGCTCACGCTACTTATAACTATTATATGAAATTGGCATTTTAGCAGCAATTAAAGACACGAAGGTGACATGGAAACCTTGAGGTGCTGGTCCACAACAGTTTAAGCCACTTTAAATCAGAGGTACCCCAGCTTCTCAACTCCCTGCCTCAGGACTCTCCACTTCTCCCTTGCAAAGGAGATGTCTGCAGAGCAGGTTTGGCAGAATAGTGCTGGGTTTTGATCTGCTTCCTCTTCTCCAGTTTCAGCACCTTGAGCCAGGAAGGGCTTGCCTGTCACTAATGCCAGCACTGGCATAGGGTAAAGGTTGTGACTGTGGGGCAGTTTTAAGGCAGGACCGGTTTGGATCAACCTGTATCACTTTGGATTAAAACCCTTAGTCTTCCTAAAATGACACTTAAAAGCCGTGAATATCTCACTGTATTTATACTAACTCAAAGCACTCTAACAATGACTCCTTAAATCTTTTCGACATCTTAAGCTCACAAGTGGAGAATGGCTCTGCTATACTAGGGCCTGTAGCAATACCTAAATTGATGAAAGACCTTACAATCTCTGGAAACAAACCTGGAGTTCAACTTAGCTCGACTGTTGGCTAAGAGTCTTTAAGCATTAAAACTTATTTAAGAGATGCTAGGTTTTGAGGAACAAACTGTTAGCCAGGGCATATCAGCAGAGCTCATTAAAATTGGTGGTTAACCTGACCACAGGATGTAACCTTCAAACATGACTGTATAGAAAGAAAAAGATTACACTGGCTTGAGTACCAGAAACACTCCAAACTTAATAACCTACAGAAGGAGTCAGATTAGGGTATGTTTTCACGATGTGAGCTGAAGCACATTGCTGAAAGGGGACAGTTTCACCCTGTGAACCTCTGGGATGATTCCCCCTCTTACTGCAGCCAGCCTTATTCAACACACTGAACTGATGTAAATACATGTTTTTGTGGGCAGGGTTGGTTGGCTGATAAATTAAATCTGTTTGTTGCATGACCAGATCACCACCAGGCCACTGGCTGCAGGGGAGCAGCCAGAGTACGCTGCAGCCAGCCATCACCTCCAGCTCTCCAGCAGGGAGCTCAGGGTTGGGCAAATTCCTCCCTCCATCCTTCCTAATTCCCTAAGAAGCACAGATCAGCTACATCTTTTCTCTGGCCAAAGGCAAGCTCTAACAGACTAATTGGCCTCAAAAGAGGAAAAACACATGACCACCATCCTAGCTCCTCTGGAGTGCCAGACTTAAAGGCCCCCCTTGCCCTGGATCAGACTGCATTTGTTTATGCCAACCTGATCTGCTGCGTATTCAGAGATGGGGTTAGTGTCTGCCTTGTGCTTCAGCTTCACTCCAAACACTCACGTAATGTCTCTACGTGAGTGAAATACAAGCAAACTGTAATATCTCCCCACCACAGTCCCATTAACTCCAGAGAGCTCTACTACCATTTGAGAGGTTAATCTCATGTTGAGAAGGGGGAAAGGAGCCTCGGGGAGCTTAGTACTGGTCCAGCCATCATCTCACTTGAGATCTAGTTCTGAGAAAAAACAATGCAACGAGCTCTTCTAGTGGACTCACTACATTTCCTCTGTTTTTAAATATAGTCCTTCCTGATGTTTTGTTATTGTGTGTAGCAGGATTAAAAGACAAAACTGTCAGTTTACATTGACCAAACCCTGCCTCTGATTGCATGACATCATTTATTGGCTGACATTGCCTTAGCATTTTAGCTAAGTACTAAAACACCTTGCTACTATTCTTTATTCACTGGCCACACTAGGTGGACTACTACATTATTAGGGTTACTGAATTACTTTCTGTCTCAGATTCCTCCTGGTTTCTGAGTTAATGCTTGAAAAGGAACTGCCTTAATGAATTACATCTCACTGGGAGGGGAATGAACAAATTGCCAAAGACAACTTTCTGCTACTCTGTGTATGGCAGTTTGACAACTGAAAGTAAACTCCCAAATTCCAGGTTCTTCTTTTCTTTATTTATTTTTTTCCCCCCTAATATAGATACTTTACGGGAGTTTTTTCCCATTTAAAAAAAAGAAATATTAAAAACAAAAGCCCTACATACATATTTTGAATTTCTTTTTTCTTTCACAGGCCTAGTCCTACACCAGTGTAAGTCCTCTGTATTAACTAATGGCAAACGATTACATCTATAAAATGTGAATACCAAATCAGTTTATTGCTGGTTCAGGGAACACAACTATTCTCAGATTGAAAATTTAAGTCAAGAAAAGGGAATGGGTTCATCTGAATTAAAATTACTGCTTGATAAAATGAAGTACAAGGAAAAAAAAAAACCAAACAGAAAAAACACTTTGGAAGAATTACAGAGTGAAAATAAAACACATACTGTCATTTTCCCCATGGCCCAGACTTCCAAGCAGGCAAAGTCATGTAGATTTATGATCATTACTCTCTGCTCTCATTATCTGGATGTACAGAGGTAACATGCAGCAGAATCTATCCTGTTTTCATTACTTCGAGGTCAATAGGAAGAGATGGCTGGCTGGCTGAGCAGATTACTACTGATTATTCCTCTATAGTCCTCCATTTCTTTCCTTCAACCAAACAGGTAGGAAAGAAAAGAGGGCTCAGTCATCTGCGAGGCTGAATCGAGGTTTCAGCTGACTGGCTTTCCACATGGAAAATGTGGTTCAGAATGATCCTCTTCCCTCTCACCATTTTCCACGATGCTGGATGAAGGCATTAATGAGTGAGTACACAGGCTGGTCTTTACTTCAGTAGGCATGACCCAGAGGCATCCCTCTCCCTGACCTAAGTCAGCGCCTAGATTTCTGTGCGTGGAGGGGAGATGTTAACCTGCCCCCCAGCTGTAGCACATACCGCACCTGCACAGCAGCTGGCAGACTACACCCACCTCTCCAGGCTTTCTTGATAACTGCTTAAGAGATAACTACTTACTAAAATTACTTCAGTTCTAAAACTCGAAAAAAATTAGAATGAACAATGAAAGAGAAAATGTGCCTAAAACATAAATCACTTTGGTAAGTAGCAGGTATGTACAGCATGAAAAAACCCCACAGAAATTTACAGTCCTACAGTAGCTTGCTAGGCATCTCATAAAACACACACCCTCTATATATTGCACAGAGATCAGCACAACTCTCCACTCTAATATAACAACATTTGGGTTATGGATTGGTAGCTGTGAAACATTGCACAGCATGGTTTTGAGAAAAGAACAGGGTTAGAAGCAGCAAATGACAGCACATTATCCACTGAAAACCACAGACTAAATTTAGATAGCTGAAATAATCAGTATTTAATTTGACCAAAACTGCTACTATTACACTTTCCCTGGGAGAAGGAAAATATAAAGCATAAACTTTGTACCTTAAGACTTTATGCAATTCATATGAATGCTTTATGCAGGGAAAAAGAAAGGTTTTACAAAGAATTCATCCAGCTGCTGTCCAAAATAAATCGTTTATGAATTAACAGGAACTAGTTTTGTAGGAACTCACTGGGATAAACCATTTTTTCTACAAACTGTGCAACTGTCCATGCATCCATGAGAGTGAATCAACTGCAGAGAGGTGACGTGAAGCATACACTGGCTTTTTATTACAATGGGACTCTATGTTTAGGAGGCAAAAACAGCAAGTCTTAGGGTCAGTTTATCCTGAGGATAATTTATGCTCCTGGAAAGGCACAACTGGTGGAAGATAAACCACAATTTTAGTTAAGAATGCCTGAAAGCTACTGTTATAGTAGGCATTTGTGATCTTTCAGAAGTTTATTTACATGACTGAACGAAAACGCCAGTTATTTTCTAGGAAGCCATACAAAAGTGTTGTTCCACACCCTCTCCAAGAACACATCCACTGTCACTGAAAGAGTGACTAAGTTGAGTGTAATTTAAATTACAGTTATGTGTTGACTTGTAACTTTAGTTGGCCATAGGATCTATGTAAAAGTTAAACAGCACCGCGTAAAAACACAATAAACGTGTCAAGCACCAAGACTCTGCTAGACACGTTTGTTATGGTCCCAAGAAGAACAATGCTGCTTAGCTTCCTTTTTTATCATACTTATGCCCATCTGTCATCGACATATCCTGCCTTTAAGTGTGTGTACATCCACCTATATATATGTATAGATATATATATATTATTTATCTACAAGAAAAATCCTTATAGAACCTCAGATTGCCTTAACTGGGTTAGCACAATAGCATGGCTTGCAAAACAGATGGTCTCGAGGACTACATAAAACTCATGCTTAGTGTCTTTTTCCCCTATAAGACAAGATGTGTCTGTTTTACAGGCATAACAT